GTACATGAAGGAAAACAACTGCAACGAAGCTACAGGCCCAGTGCTTATTAACAGTGACAGTACAAGACAACAGAACCAGCCTGCAGGGGATTAATGAAACCCAGGGGAGATACTGTTAGACAAAAACAGGTTAACAAAGCAGTGGCCTTGAGATCTAACACCATGGGTTAACAAAAACATAACAAGACAGTGGCCTTGAGGGTCTAGCACTGTGGCTCAACACTGAATGCTTCCTTCATTTTCCATCACATGGCACCATATATTAGTTTCTTAACTACAGAGATGTGAGGAAGCAGTTCAAGAAACCCTGAGGCCTTGATACAAGAACTGTGTTACCTTCTCATACAAACAGGATACTACTGAGGCCAGGACAAAGGCTGGAAAAGGTTACTGCAGGAGAAGAAAGGCTATATAAGCATTACATATGGAGAGGCCCAAAACATTTTCTGTGTCACCAGTGTCACTGGTTCTGCTCCAAGAAAAGGATTTCTAATGGATACAGTAGCAGAGGACACCAGGGGAGCTGCTGTTAGGCATCCACTTAACTTAAATCTTCCAGCTCTGACTGTAACAAAAAATCCTTTTAGCCAAAACTGTAGCATTAGGATTGTCAATGTCGTATCAGAGACTTGTCCAACGTGTCAAGAAATGGAAAGACCACAGTTGCCATGTGGAGCCTTTACTTGCATCAACTGTTTTAAAATAGCAGTTACACTGAAAGAAGAATCATTTATTTTTCTTGCTTGAAGTAATAGTGGAAAGATTCAAACCCTGCCAAACACTTATGCTTGTGAGTAACTTTAATCCTCTGAGTAATGCTACTGAAGAAAACAGAACTACTCATGGCAGTAAGTACCTGTCACTTTTCCAGCACTAAGTGACAGACACAAAACATACTTAAGGATGTGATATCCTGCACAGGAATCAGCTGACATCTCCTGCACCCAACAGACTTTTTCAGAAGGAACAAAGAGCTATTCAACACACAGAGTAATGACACAGAAACAAAGAGATTATTTTTGCTGCAATAATAATCATTGGTATTACTAAGAACAGGTAAAATAGTCAGATTTTTTAAAGAATGCCACTTTAAAACAGGTCAAAAAGGAAGTAACTATATATACTTTGCATACATTTTCTCAGTCTTAAAAAGACCAGGTAAACCTGCAAGAGCCGATTTTGAAAGTAAGTCTTGATTTCTCTTCCATAACCTCAAACAGATATTTCAACAACTGCTTGCTACTTGACAGTCCATGGCTTGCACCATATGGTCTTACCACAGAAATAAGCTTGAGGCTTTGGCTCTGCAGTTAGATGTATGTAGAGATGTCAAGGATAAAATCTGAAGAACTGAACTGCCTTTGAATAGAACCAAATGGTTGAAGACATACCGCAGCTTGGATTTATTTAAGGGCTTGAAATTTATTGGGAAACATAAGTGTTTGCTTTCAAAATTTCTCTGTATGTTCTTTATTCAGGTTTCCCCCAAAGACAGAAAAAAAAAATCTCATGCTTTGATACACCAAACATTTTTTAAATCGATGTGTTTGTGTACAACTGTCGACTGCAACCCAATTCAGTGGGTGCCAGAACAGACATCCCACTACAAAATCCAACTGGAGTTTGCAAAAATGCTGCTCTGTCAATGGGGGGCAAAGGTTTGGCCTAGTGTAACTGATACCATTAATTTTCCCCTGCAGTAACTTCCTCAAATGTCCTGATTCATAAGACTCCTCTGAAATGACATTTCCAGTCTTGTTGTGTTATTCTGTACAGTGAACAATTTACAGGAGAGAAACCTGCCTCAGCCAAAGTTGCTTTCCAGATGCGAAGGACCACCTCCCCACACTAGCCTACATTGTTCAAAGAAGACAAGCAAGACTTCTCTTTCCCAATAAAAAACAAACTCCAGTGAAAAATCACCTCTTCCTTGGTGTGGCTAGTGCCATAAAACTAAACGAAGACAATAGGGTTCTCAGAATCAGGAAGTCTTCACTTTCTTCTGACAGATTCTGATTTGAATTCAGAATGTGGCTTCAAACAGGAAAATTACACTTGCAGTTGTCTTTGTAAACATTCTCAGCTCTGTTGTAATAACTGTGGTAATGTGAAGAATGCAGAAAATAAGTTTTATAATTTCTTATTCACCCAGCTGCTGAAACACTAAATGATCTACACGACATATGCACATGCTGGAGTTGCTTCCTTTGTAAGAATGTGTCATTTCTCAAGAAGAACAGCTTTAGATGATCTGCACTGCTGAATCCCAAAAATGCAATCTGCTTTGTCCTTATTTAAGAAGTAACATCTCAGAACACACATGTGAATTATTTGTAAATAGGACCGACTCTTTATTTTTAGCACAACATTTTGGCTGGGTCTTGTGGCAAGTTTAGGCATCGGTGATGTACAATATTCAAGTCATTAAAACAGCATCTGAAGCTTTTTTCACAAGCTCAAGCCAAAGTCAATATCCCATCAGTTAAATAATGCATTTCATAATTATAGCAAATATTTAATTTCCAAACAAATATCCTTTTGCTCTCTCAGAATCAACAGCAGTAGTTAACATGATGGTTCACAATTAATAAGGACCCGGGAGAAAACCTCACACAATCAGTACTTTTCATCTACATATTTATGAAATTTCATCAATTATTCATGTAATATTTACTACTGGGAGTGGTGAATATGACAATCACCCCTGCTGGAGAAGCAGTCAGTTCTCTTCAAAATGTTGCAAGCAGCATAATTCAATTCTAAAATTGTTATGTAGCGATTAAGGGACATTTTTAGGACCTGAATGTTCTGCATGAAACTATTGTTTTCAATTAACTGAACCACAGTTTTCCTAATTGATCAACCCCCACACTCTTCTTTAGCAGCCCAGACTTACAGCCACAGTGTGAATCACCCTGCAATTCCCAAGAGATACCAAATCTTACTGAAACCTCTCTCTGATGCAGTAGTTACCTAGCAGCAAAACCTAGCAACCCTGTAGTATGAGATTAATCCCAGAGTGATCATCATAAAAGAGTATCTGAAAGCTATTCTATTTAAGTACGCCATCCAAAGGTATATAAAAATGCAACAGAAAAATGGTCAGGCTTCTAACTGTTCAGCTATTCAAATTAGAAAAGACTACCCAACAGCACAACAAGCTATTTATTGTTCAGTGAGGTCTCATTTGCTCAGCCCTCCCAACAAAGACAGAAAGAGCCCAGATCTATAAAGGGATGTGCAAAAAATTTAGATGAAATCAAGATGTTCAAAACCCTTATCTACAATTTAATGTAACAATGAAATCCCTTAGTCACTACAGACAGTGGGTAAGTGCAAAATTCCTCAAGTACAGGTTCTGCTCAGCTGCTTGGAACTGGAGTCCTAACAGCATACTCAAACTAAATACCCTCTCTCCCCTTTCTTTTACAATGTAGTAAGCATTTTCAGATCACCGCAGCGTGACCAGGACACACACAGAAGACAGCCAGGCATAAGTTCTTTTTGTTCTCAGCTGTCCATCTGCGTCTTACCCAACAATACAGTGCGAGCAACTCTCACCTGAGAAGATGGGGATTACTCTCAAGGACTGGTGCCAAGGAGGAGAACGTCAGTCAGAACACAGCATTTTCCCTGAGGGATAGGATGTCCTTGCTCCACACCAGGGAACGGAAAAATTGGAACTAGGTTTCTTACCTCCTTATTTCTGTGTATTTCTGCCACACCCCGTATCTCTTATGAGCTATCTGGTGTGGTTCCCTAACACAGCTTACTGGGAAACTACAGGCTTCACTGTGTGTCTGAAGACTCCACCAGGTGACCTGCACTTAAAAACATTTGTCGTGGCAACACTGCAATGTAGCCTGAAGCATCTAACCCCTCTTTGAGCCTTCACTTTCTTTGTTCAGCATGCTCCACAGAGCTGTGTATACACTTCTGATAGTAGGCGTGGGCCTGGGCAGTTTTTAGAACCACTGGTAAGGCACAACAGAACTACAATCTCTGGGTAGGCACTACAACTCCTGTCATGCAAACTGAGGTTAGAAGTGTGCAATATAAAGTCCACATCCTTACTGAAACTCTGTATTCTTCCCCCATAGTAAATGTTAGGCTTTCCAAATGGTTTTGTACCTGTGCGCTGACCAGTATCACTGCTTACCATTTAAAAACTCTTTGGCACCCTTGGGTAAGATTCCAAATTAACAGCCCTTAAAAGCTGTAGTTTTCCTTTGTTAAGAGAATAAGTAGGAAAGCATAAGCTGAAGTGCCAACTTTCCTGCTTTGCTTTGCTTACACAGAGCAAGAAAACCTATCCTCCAGTGAGAAGGGGAAATGGTAACTCAATCCTTGCACCAGTTAAGCTCTCAGCTTTCCTTTAGTAGTACTAAAAGGAGTAATAGGGGTGTGGACACTAAAGAGTAAATCCGAGTTAGATTCTTGCTGAACTGCTGTCTGCCAGTAACAGTCACCACCAAGCTGTAAGATAGAGTTGGACCAGGAAAACTGATAGGAAAGAACTCTGGTATACATTCTTGAGCTGCCAAGTCATACATTTAACTATAAAAATACGCATAATGGACTATGACAGTGCTTTTAAGAGAATGGTTTGGCCACAGTGAAAAATAAGAAGCCAAAAAGAAAACAAATACTCTTGTGGTTCTTGTCCTTTAACATTAACAGGAGCTTTATCCATGCCATGAGAGCTACCTACATGCAGCCCACATACAACCTGGCCAGCCATGTTCCAAACCCATGCACTGGTAGAAGTGCCTTCTGAATTAATCTGCCAGTGAGGGATTGCAAGCAATAATGCTGCAAGATTTCCTCTGCTTCTAATTGATAAATACTGAACTATTATAGCATTTATCTTCTTCATGTCCTGCTATACCCACAACAGCCACTCTGTCAGTTCTAGACAGTTTTGACACAATCAGCAATTGATTTTAAGCACTTCTGTGAACACAACTGAGTCATTAACATCTTCATATAGCATTGCTTACCTTAAATCTTTCTGAAACCCCCTCAGTGATGCTGATTGTGAATTCAGCTATTTTAGGAGTACGGAACTTCCCCTTCTTGCGATCAGGTTCATACTCTGTTTTTGTTTTGACCACAACCTATAATAAAACAAAAATACAAGAGAAATCAGAAAGTTGTCAGCTGAAACACAGAACCCTAGAATGGTTTGGCTGGAAAGGACGTTAAGATCATGTAGTTCCAACCCCTTGCCATGGGCAGGGACACCTCCCACTAGACCAGTTGCTCAAAGCCCTGTCCCATCTGACCTTAAACTGGCCATAAGAACCTTATTTATGCATTAACTCTTCTTTTACCTACTTACAAGCACATTTAGCACAGTATTTTTTCCCCTACCTGTGTAATTGTTTGGCAGCTGTAGGTTGTTAGTTATTTTTCCCAATTATCCATCAAAGTGGTTTTGATGGTCCTACAGAAGACTCGTTATGCAACAGTTACACAAACATTCAGTGTTCTCAGCTGTGGTGGTACTGTGCTGCTACACTAGGCAAGCACCTACTTAGTTCAAATCCAAATCATGAACCTTCCCACCTTGTGCAGTTTGAAAACAGCTGCCTCTATTTGCTTCAGGAGATCTCACTAATGGGATTTCAAACTGGAGACTAATAGGATGAGACCATTATTGAAGAGTGCCCATAGAAATCTAGCAGATGATGCCACTACCAGCCATGTCCTTTGAAAGCAGGATTTTTTGTTTTGAAGAAGTGAAATGACCCATCTAGTTGCCATTCACTATGTACTAGACTATAGATCTTCGCACTCTTTATTTTTAACATCTAACTTTGGAATTACCAGCTGCAAGCAGCAAGATGCACACAAACCCTTGTGTTAATGAGACATCTTGAAACACCCAAGGCTCTTTAACTTCAGTTTATTCCTTGCTATGTGTTACTGCCCCAAGCTACACCATTTAGCACCTTACCTGCATTCCCCAAATATTCATTATGTCAGTCACAACTCTAGTGCTCTCCCAGGCATTCTAATCGAACAAAATTCTCATATCATAGAATCATATATACCTAACCTATTTGCCTCATTTTTGCCTTCTGTAGTTTTTCAGGATCTCTTTCAAAGTACCACTCCCAAGACAGGGTGCAGTTTATTGTACCGACAGTGCTATTAAGATCTGCTCAGTTTTCTCTGCTGTTTCAAAGAAAAAAATATGTAGACTCTTAGATTTTCAGAACCAGATTCTACCTTTAGTGCTACACACGGTCTCAACAGGAACTATATTATTCTGAAGTTAACTTGTGACACTTAAAGACACTAATCAGTGAAATAAAAGCTTTGGGTTTCCTGAAATAGCATCTAGAAGGTATAACTGTACCTGGACTCAGTACCACAAAGTTTACCAGACACTTATGCAGCATTACACATGTATGTGCAGGACACAGGTTTAGAACTAATTACCTATTTTCAGCTATAATTAATAAGATAATAATTACTATTTAATTTTACAACTGCCAAACAGCATCGTGGAAGTAAACTGTAGATTTCTGGAATGCTTTTTAACATTCTGCTTTCCCCTTTATGTTGCATAACTTCAAGCAACTCAAGTCACCCCCAGATGACACTGAACGTACAGTTCTATCTGTGTGGTTATGTAATGTCTTCTTTTGTTTAATATACCTAAGTATGCATCTGAATCAGTTCATCCCTTTAATTTAGAAGCTGTCAAAATCAAGAAATTCTTAGTGATGTAGTCACTACTGTTCAAGAAGTTATGCTTCGCTGCCATATTGGAGCCTTGGAGGTGAAATATAACCATAGATATATGATGTTCTCCTATTCATTATACATGAATAGCTTTGTACTTCAGAATTTGATCTGTGTGTTAATCTTGACTTAATACTGCTTCTTTTTTTTCCTCACATCAGTTGCTCTACTACTGCCTTTGGGTCTGTAGCAACCAGTAAAGACACACTGACTTGGCTAACCAGTTACAGCCAGTAGGGCAAATAAATACATGGGTTATTGTTTCCCCTCTATGCTTGTAAAAGGAAGGAAAGCTAACATACAAATACACAGTGGAAAGAGTAAAAGAGCCAAGGAGATATTGCTTTATTTAAGCTTCTAGACCAGCTGTAAATTTGCTTTCATTCCAGACAAATGACCTGAAGGAGGGAGAGTTCTGCCTCATTCTAGTAGGAGCAATCAGGCTGGCAGAGAACCTCCTGGGCTCACTAAAGAGGCTCTGCTCAGGTTAAACCTATTACCATACAGATCCCCAGTTCAGACTCCTGCTTAGCAGTGCAGTAACATAACAAATTCCTTTGGACGTTGGTCCCTGGTAATCGGTTATATCCAGTCACCAGTTGGCAGGCGTATCAGACACAGTAAGGCTTAACTTGTTTTAAAGCCTCAGGGTGCAATTTTGTCCTCCGTTACAAGATTTACACCCATGTAACCAAGGGCAGAAAATGGACCCTCAGGCTCTCTAACAGCTGTTATGGCTTATTGCATTTATGCCTGCCAACTGGTCACCACACACGACACAGAATGGTGTTGATAGCAATTAAAATGGAGGTCACAAATTTATTTGTATTGCCTACAAGCAACGCTCTCCTGAGACAAATTTCACAAGGTAAAATTCTTTACCCCACCATAAGATTACATGAATTTTTCTGAGCTACGAGGAACATACAGCTGTCAGTTTATCTAGAAATAGAACTGAGCTCATGGAAGACATAATGCCAAAAATAAAAATCAGCATAAAGATATTACTGTTTCCCACTTAAATTTTGTATTTTTCAAAGACTAAAAGACTACAAAGGTTTGGTTTTGTTTTTTTTCCAGATGCATACGTGAGAAATGTTGAAGTAAGCATCCTACTAAAATAGGGTACTGAAAAACAGGACACTGAAACATATGAAAAAGTATCCTACTGCTGTACGCCTTACCTGTAGTAATGCTTGCCGAATTCTTTATTGTGAGAATAAATGTATTTACATGCTATCACACCACCTCCCTACATCCTCAATAATCAAGCCATGTAATGAGGTATGCAGGATCCACACTTCCAACCTGTAAGCAGCACCTTGGACTATCCCCTTCCAGCTATGTAGCATCCAGATCACCTATTCAGAGGGTTTTGAACCAAATCAGTCACCAAGGAGAAAACTCAATGGCCTGTTCTCATCTCATTATTTCAGCTTGTCAGGGTCTAGCATTAATTCGCTACTGAAGCACAGAGGGAACGTGGAAGCTCTTTCTCCCTGTGGCCAGTCTGCCCATGCACATCTCGCAGAGAAATAAAGCGGTGCTTTATCCCCCCATTAGGGGGGTATTTTCTGGACAGAAAATTCATGCCATTTACAGAGAATACACAGTACCTTCCAGACACAAAAAAAGATACAGAATAGAAAGGGCTATGACAATACAACATAGAAAAGCTTGCATTTTTATGTCATTTCATACAGCAGCACTGTAATCTATAGATGCTTCTTGCTAATATTCCCCACTATTTTTTAATGCAAATCACTACTACTGGATTTTCATTAGCTTAACTGTTAATCCTTTTCCCCAGAGAGGACTAGCATGCCTTAAAACGCCCCGTATTCCTTGACATTTCTAAGCTGCTCGTTACACATAACCTATTCTTTTGTTGCTCGCCTGAGATTTGGGTGTGATTCTCCAGGGTGGAAACTAATGCCTACTGTACCTTATCAGGAGGTGGGAACTGGAGCTGATTGACATCCAGGGGTGTGATCAGGGGGATGGTGTCAAATCCATCCTCCAAAAGCGGTTGCTTTGTGCTCTTCTCGCTGAAATTATTCCCCAGTTTCACCATTCTTCCAGGCTAGAGGGATTTTCTGCTGGCACACACGCACAGAAACGCAAAATGTCAGGAACTCGGGATGCACCAGACCTTTCCACAGCCCCCGGGAAACAGCTCATGGAAAAAAAAATCATAAATACTAAACATTAATATTAAACAGCGTTGGTCGCTGTGACTCGGTTACATCTCGGCGGTTTGGGATGTACGACGGCCAGCGCTTTTGTTATCGTAGTTAAAACACAAACCCCAAACCCCCCGACACGTTCGCCC